TTCTGGCACTTCCCTCCTTATACTCTGCCTTCAGCTCAGCTATGGACTGAACTAGAGAGCTCTAGTACCACGGCTTTTTGCTTAACTTTACCAAAACATTTTTCTCTTAAAAAAAAAAAAAACAAACAAACAAAAACCAAATACCAAAATAATAGTGGGAAAGAAACATACTGTTGCATAAACAATTAGAAAGACTGAAAACAAAATATACAGCAGTTCTGGTCCTAGTGACTGCAACAAGAACTAGAATCTACGATGCCAAAAACATTTCAGCCAGGCCAGGCATGGTGGTACATGCCTTTCAATCCCACATTCGGGGTAGAGACAGGCAGATATCTGTGAGTTTGAGGCAGGGCTGGTCTACAGAGAGAGTTCCAGGCCAGTCGGGGCTACATAGTGAAATCTTGTGTCAAAATTGAAGACATTTTGCTTAGAATGTGATACAAATGGGCTTTGGTTTGATCTGTTTCTTAGTCTTGCTAAGTACATATTTCATAGCAAATAAACAAATGCTTTGAAAACTTCAGGAAAAATGTCTCCAAGTATTTTAATGAGTCAAAGGAATGGAAGCAAGGAAATCATTCAAGGGCCAAACCCGTACACTCTTCTTTCCCAGTACTCACACTGGTAGAAGGGTCTTGCATGGACTGGCACCAGCTGACTGCCTCAACTGTACATGATCGCATGGTCTCTGTTCGGCCATGATAAAAATATCTTGTCATAGCTGTTTCATAGCAGCAACCAGGGCTAAAAATATTTTAAAAGACTACCATAAGAAAATGTTCTTATGCTATTGCAAATACAATTACCTTAATAAAGCTGATTCAGATCAGAGACTAAGACTACAATTCAGCCCAGAATTGAGACTTTCAACAAACACTATTTCTAAAACCAGAGAAATAAAATATTCTGATAACAGGCTATTTCAAAGGCCCAGCTGCTATCAGGTTACATTCATTGTAGTTTGATAGCCAAGGTGGCTCCCAGTGATCCCTGCCTCTTGCTATTCGTGCTCTGGCATACTTTGAATGTGGACTGGTGTTAGTGGCTTGCTTCTAAAGGAGAGACTATAGTAAAAGTGAAGGGATATCATACCTGAAATTAGGTTACAAAAAGAGCTATTTTTTTCTCTTTTACTTCCTTGCTAGTAACTGCCCTATGGAGAGGGCTAGGTGGCAACAAAACAAAACAAAAACCTGAAGGAGGCCCTGTAAACAGCAATTGGGGAGGAGCTGAATTCTGGTAATCTTTTTAAGGAGGCTGAATGCAGATCCTCCCTCAGGAGAGCCTACAGGTGAACACACACAGCCCTACATAACAGTCTGACCTTGTGCTCATGGGACATGCACCAACTAAACTGTTTCCAAATTACTGACCTACAATGTAATACAATGAATGCTCGTGCTCTTACTCATTAAGTTGTAGGGTAATTTTTTACACAGAGTATAACAGTGTCCTTGGCTACTGGTTCTTCATATAAAACATGAATGGCAAGAATTAGACAGAAGCATTAAGAAGTTCCCCATAGGGAACTGGTTCCTCAACTGATGAATGACACACAATTTTAAATACAAAGTGTTCTTAACTTTCCTGGTGGTTAGTTATAGTCACTGAGGATCAAGTGCAGAAGTCTGAATGTGGACATTATGAGGGCTCAAACAGCACAATGGTAACATTCCTTAGCAAGGAGGTAGGGAGGTGGAAGGAGAGGTGGAAGGTATAAATACATACTCATTTATAAAATTCTAAAAAAAAAATAAAGGAAAAATAAGCTGGCATGTGGTGTACACGTTTAATCCCGCACTCAGGAGGCAGAGGCAGGAGGATCTCTGTGAGTTCAAGGCCAACCTGGTCCACGTTGTGAGTTCTAGGCAAGCTGGGGCTATGGGGAGACTCTGTCTCAAAAAGATTTAAAAAAAATGGTGGTGGTGATGGTGGTGGGGTGTTTCAAGGCTTTTGAGAATTGTTAGGAATGCCAGTACATAAAGACCAAGATGTGGAGAGAACAAATGAAGTTAGGCAAGTTGTTTGATGCCATTTTCCCCTGCTCAAGGAATCGAATATTTCATAAGATCCATGAGCAGAAAGGCTATAAAAGGAGCAGGAAATTATGAGTAGGAGGCAAAGAAACTAGACAATGCTTTCAGTAGTATCTCCAGGTTGGTAAAAAAACACCAGCATTTAGGGCTACAAGGAGCCAGAATAGGAGAGGCCAAGATCACAGAGAGAGAGAAGTCCAGAGACATGCGTCTGATGGTCTGAGCCTCTCTTCTCTTAGGGACTGATTGGCAAAGGAAACAGACTGAAAGGCAGAGGCACCGAGGAGACAGGGGTTGCTTAGAGGCAGAGAAGATAACTGAAGCAGTCAGCAGTCTCATGGTTCTAGGGAGATAAACATCAAGAGTTCAAGGCCTGTTACAGTAGAGGGTCATGGTAAATACTCTAGGACTTCACTATAAGAAAAAAGGACAATGAAAACAGATCAGCTGAAAGACCCTGAAACCCAGCCTAGAAATAATGCAATCTTCAAATGGATAAGAGAAGGCACTCCACTCTAACTGCTCAAGCAGAAGATAAGAATGATATTTTAAAAATTTATTTTTATGTCTTTCAATTTTATCTTTTGCAATCTTGAAAAACAATAAATCAAAGAAGTTGGATATTTTGATTTTTTCCTGTTTCATAAATGTGAAAATAAAGCCATGAAGAAAAACAGATTCTTTTCAATA